CTAAAACAGGCTCCCGCGGCAATTTTGGAGGATTTCTCAGGTAGAAAGGCATTACCTTTGGGTCCCATGGAGCCTCTCTGACCTAGCCTCAGGGCCTCCCCCAAGCTCACATCAAATCAAATCTGCTAAAGGAGGCTACCTGAGCCGAGAAACCATGTTGACCATACTATTGTGGGTTGGAAATTTCAGTCCTGCCACTTCTGTGAGATCTTGAACAAGTTCTATTCCTTCTTGGAGTTTCCAGTCCCTGCTCTCAATAAGCACACACTATTCTCTAGGCTCTGGTGCAAGCAATGGAATCACGGCTGTGTGAGCTTGCTCCTCCCTTTTGTCAGTCTATCAACCAAGGGCATTCCCTGTCCTGTACCCACACCTACCCAATTTCCCAGCTCCTCCTCATCCATCAAGACTCCTTTCATCCTCTCCATAAAGCTTCCCCTACTTCTCCTAGCCTTGGCAATTTTCTCCTTCCTTACCAAACTTTGAGGGTATCCATGCACAATCTGCCTCTAGTTTTGGAGTTGGTAATATCGTCTTAATTCCCCTCAGACAGGAGGATGGAGGCCAGAAACTGTGCTTTCTGATCAGGCTAACCAAAGGAGTCCACAGCATGTTGGGATAATTCTAACTCCCATCACAGGCATTTTCTTCCAACCTCTGCCCACTCCTGCCTCTGATCTGTCTTCCCCACAGCTGAGTCCTCGACTACACCCCAGTGTCAGTGGCTTCAGTTCAGCGGTTTCCAAGCCCTCCCCATGGTCCTTCCTTAAAACCTAATTTTCTGACAAAAACCATTTCCACAGGGTCCAATTAGGACTGGGCTAAGTAATAAAGAAGAAAACGATAATGAGTCTCAAGCTGTCTTTTGGTCATCCTAGTTTGGGTCACCCTCATCCGAGGAAATACAAATCATCTCGGATGCTGTGAACGTCACTGATGAAAAGGAACACTTACCTTCTGTCTAGAACAACAAGCCCAGAGGCAAGTAGCAACCTAGCTGATGATCTGTTTTCATAAGCCAAATCACACCGCACGAGTTCCTCCTCCAGGAACCAGAACCTCCCACACCCCTGGTGCGTGTACACGGGGATACAGTTGCTTATTTATATGTGTGTCCAACATACTGCCAAGCCTTACTCTCAGCTGGCTCTGCATTGAGTCTCAGGCTGGCCATTAGAGATGAAAGGTGTTTCCAAAGGCGTTTCTGGTTACACCACATGTGTGTATGTGCATGTATGTTTGTATGCATATGTGGTATTTGCTTGTGCAAGCACATCCTCATACAAGGAAAACCAAAAGGCCGAGAAACGGGGAGAACTGAGTTTGAGCTGATTAGACAAAGCTATTCTTTCAAAGAAGAAAAGGGAAGGTTCAGCAAGTGTTAGACACTATGACCAGGTGTTTTGAGGACTGATAAAGTTATTGTATATTCAGTGTCTTTTATACCACAGTCTGAGATAGAAGCTTTCTGAATACTATTCTAACAACCACCTTGCAGGACAGGGCTCTATATCCCCACTTTATAGATGTGGAAACCAAGGCTCAAAGGATCAATTCACTTGCTATATCAACTAATGAGGGAGTAATAAGGCCGAGATTCAAACTCAAGTTTCTCTGGGAGCTACACTCAAATTTCGCTTTACAGGACAGGAGAGGAAGGTAAAATGTCTACATCAAAAAAAATAGGGCACCACCCAAGATTGCATGCAGCCGCTGACACTAAGCCAGACATGGCTGGCTGCTCATCGCACAGTCGAGCCCAGGCTGAGCAATACAGAGGAGCCGTGAAGACACAGAGATCAGTCTGGAATCAGGCAAGGAAACATAGGCACATCTAATGCAGAAACATGACTTTCTGAGAAGGGCCTTTCCAGGAAAGTTCCTAGAGAAGACCATCCCCTCGTCCGACCACGCTTGGGTAATAATGAGAATCAAGCTGAGGAAGATCTTCTAAAAGCCTTATAAACCTCCGAAGACCAGAGGTGACTCAGGATACCTGCAGGTCAGAGTGTACTCTAGTTCAATGCTGAGAACTGTTGGGGCCTTTGCTTCTCAGCCGGAAAGGTAACTATGAAATCCTTAAGTGCCGAGTGCTACTTGCCCGAGATGATTACGGACAATCATCACGGCAGGAGGTCACATCACCCTTCAGGACGGGTGCTGCAATGTGAAATATTGCGCAGTAGTCAAAGGTGGTTTCGAGTCTGTGGATGAAAGAATGACACTGCTTCCTTCAGACAGAACTCTGGTTTCCACAGATACGAGTAGGTTCTGATTCCCACCTCATACCCAGGCCCGCATACATGCTCACTAGATGAGCCTCCAGTAACTGATTCTATACCCAAGGACTGGACTGAGTGACCCCTAAGCCTGAAGTCTGGCAAATAGAAAGACAATGTATACCGAGCCCTTGAAGTTGTGACCCTGCTAGCACTGTATTACATTTAACATAACCCTTCAGGAGAGTGTCTGGAGTCCATCATCTTTCTTTTTGATAAGTTGCACCTTTCTCTAGAATGGCTTCAAAGCGTTCTTCATAGAATGTGTGCAATAGATATAACCTGGTCTTTTCAAAGAATGCAGGAAAGGTTTGCTGTTTATGGCTATCCTAGGCAAAGGATGGTGAAGAGGCAGGTTTATCTGCCTGGGCACTGTATCATGTCTGCTATTGGAACGCAGTCACACTGAAAGCTCGGCATTCAGTGAAGACCCAACAGTTGTCAGAGATTAGCTTCCGGGTCCACTGCTGCAAGAAGCAAGAACGGTGGAGGCAGAACACGTCGCTCTTCTCTCTACCTGTAGACTTGGGAAGTGCACTGAGAAAGAAAGCTGTCTCTCTGTCCAGTCTCTCTCCCAGGCCCTTCTGAGTCTTCTCTTTTACGAAGATGGGAATCAAAATTATAGGGACTTTAAAAACAACAATGTCGGGGCAGGGTGTGTAACATAGAAATTATTCCTCAGGGATTATGTGGTTTAGGGATGCAAACTCCAAGTGCATTGAAATTAAGGAAGTATGCCCTGTAAATATCAAGGAAACTGTTATGATAAAGGCACATGTGACCAAATACTACTACTCTCAAAATAAATAAATGATAAATAGCAAGTGGTGCTCTTTGCTGCCCCCTAGTGGCTGGAAGGGGAAAGACAAGAGGAATTCACAGAGTCGCTCCCATTCTCACGGCCATTTGTAAACTTTCACCAATGGCTTGGCTTTAAACTTGTTCTAAGTGAAGAAAATAAAGAACGTAGGTATATACACGTGTATATATACATATGTCCACATAATATAGGTCAGTGGAAGCCTGCACTGTTATTGATTTACTTTCTCTCCCTGACCTCTGGCTTCCCATTCTCACCGAACTCGGCAACTGTTCCACAAATGGAATTCTCTTCCCAAATTACTTCTTTCGCTAGTCTTTACTTACTGCGGGCTCCCTGCCTTCTTGTAAATATGCCACATACTCTGCAAAAAAGTGATAGACATCCTCAAAAGAAAGAAATCTACTTGCCTATCAAAGCGCCCGTACTGGAAGGAGAGAGCAAGCTATTTACAGGGATGGTCGCTGTTTTTCACCCTTTTTTAAACCGGAACAATAGCACATCACATTGGTTTCTTCATACAGAGCCCCCTTTACCATGTCACTTTTTAAGACTTTTTTTTTTTTTTCTCTTTTCAAAGAAGAAACTCCTCATTGAGGCTTGGGGACGGGATGAATGTTAAAAGACACTTGTGCATATTTTTTTAAGATTATGTCACAAAAAATTAATAGATTTTAAAAAATGGAAATAACTCTCTCTCCAAATTTATCACTTGCAAATGACAGGAGAGGGAGAGGCAGTTCCCAGAGCCCAGACAAGGCAAATGTCCTGCTTCCCCAACTCCCCAGTCTCCAGAGAGCGCCTTCCTTTCTCTGCTAGCCTCTAAATCAGGCTGTCTCTAGTCGTCTTTTCCCAACAAGGACAAAACCTCCGTCCTCAAACTATTGCCAGGCAGGATTCCAAGAACCCCATATCCTCCCTCACCTTTACCTGGCGGAAACCAAAAGCACGCCAGCCCTCTGTCAACAGCGCGGAGAATCAACAAGTTACAGTTAAGCCGAGCGCTCCATCCTGAAATCAGCCACAGTCTCCCCGGAGCCCACCTCCATCCACCTCAACCCGGCTCCCGCAGATTGCCTCCTAACCTCCTCAGGCTACCTCAGGGCCTTCCGTTCCAGACCCGCCCTCCAGACGCCTGTTCCCCAACCTGCGCTCCACCCGGCGCTCCCAGGCAGCTGTCAAAGTCTGGGGCTCGCCGGCTCCTAGGCTCCCCTGGTAGCGCCAGCCAGCATCCAGGAGAATCTTGGAGGATTTGGAGAGGTCAAGATCAATTAGAAAGACTGAAGAGGAGCCCCGGACCTCCGGAGAAAAGCCGAAGGCCAGCGGCGGTGGGGACCATCGCAACCCGAGGTTCTTCCGGACTCTGAGCATCAGGAGGGCGTGCGTTCCCAGGGGAGCCAGAGCCCGCGCTGCGGAGCCTGCGGAGCGCCGGGGCGCGGGCAAGGTTCTCAGGTGCCTGCAAGTTCCCACAGCATCCGGGAGCACCAGTCCAGCTAGGCACACTCCTTTCGAGACGCCCCTGGCTTTTGCCCTTGGGGCAGGAGCAGACAGACACCTGCTTCTGCCACCTCCATGCACCCGCTGCAAAGCCCGTGCCCTGCCCTGCTGAGCCGAGCCCCGCGGCGCTCCCACCCCAGCACACACGCCCCCCAAAGTTCGCTGCACTACCCAGACCCTCTCCCTCTCCTCGGCGCCCGGACCCCGCCCAGAGGTTGGGCCGGAGAACCTCCTGGGGTCCAAAGCTTAGGGCGCCGCCGACTTCGGGGTACCGTGCGCTCAAGGAGCCGAAGCTGCGGCGACAAGGAAGGGTGGGTACCACGCGCGCACCTAAGTCGGCGAGTCTGTGTCCTCCAGCCCCCTGCCCCCCTCCCGAAGAGAAAGAAAACTTCCCCAGCACCCACCTTTCGCCGCGAGGAGGCGGCGCCGCCGGCTGTCCCCGCCGCCGCCGCCGCCGCCGCTGCCGCCGCCGCTCCCCACGCCCAGCGCCAGCAGGAGCGGCACCAGGCACAGCCTTCCCGGCAGCATCCTCTCGCCGCCGCCGAGCCGCCGCCGCCGCCGCCTACCGCCCTCGCCGGCCTCGCTCGCCGGTGCCCGCCGGTGCCCGCCGCGCCTCGCTCTCGCTGCCGGGTGCGCCGCCGCCGCTGCCGCCCTCACCCTCGGCCCCCCGCTGCACTCCGCCGGGCCGCTCGCTCGCTCTCTCGCTTGCTCGCTCGCCGGCAAAAGGCAGCACTCACTGGCGCGGACCCGGAGCGGCTCCGGCGCTCACCCCGGGACGGCCCGTGACGTCACGGAGGGAGGGGAGGTGGCTGGTTGCATATTCATGAGACGCGGACACTGGAGCGGGGTTGCGCGCTCCCCCCGCCTCGCCGCTCTGGCCCCCCACTTTGCTCCGCCCCCCCCCCCCCCCCCCCAAAGCCGAGCACTCGCGTGATCCGGCTCGGTCAGGCGCCGGCTCCCCGAGGACTCTAGCGGGAAGCTCCGAGGAGCCTTTAGGGCCTGGCGTCCCCCACGCACCCACCCACCCATGCAGCTCTCCAGACTGCCGCTGCGCGCGCTGAGGCGAGCTGCTCCACGAAGTGACAGCCCGCGGCCTGGGGATCTTCTGTAAAGATGCTGGCGACCCTACCCTGATGCGCCCTTTGAACCCACCTCCCTGCGGAGGGGCCAGGACGGTGTCTCTGCGGGCCCTGCCCTTGGCCGTGGTCTAGGGATGGACGCTCTGTGCCGCCTGGTCTGGGGAGGGCGCCAGGCGCTCGCTAGAGCTGCAAAGCGCCGGTGCCTCCAGGAGTTGTAGGGCAGAGATCGCCTAGGACCCGCAGAGCAATGCCCGGGCTCTGCGCCATCTCAGAGAAGCAGGGGCAGCCACCTCTCCAGACGGAGGGACCGGCTGAGTGTGAAAAGGCAACCTTCAGTCTCAAGTGGGAACCACAGTCAAACTTTCCCCTCCTCGGAAGTTGCCGCCTTTCTATTGTCACGGCCTCTGTAGGAGAATGGCATTTGATGTCATGCCTCCTAAAACCTCAGGCCAGGGAACACCATTCTCCCCCGGGAGGTGGGTTTATGTTCTTCTCCACATCCTCAACCACACTCGGGCTTCAAAAGCACCAAGAAGGTTCCAGCAAAATCAACTAACGGTCCCGAACAAATCCCTGGGTGTATCTCCATAGATACGCTGTTTCCTCGCCATGCAAGGGTCGGGTGAAAGTGGAGAAATGAGGTAAATAGAAAGACACAGAAACAAGCAAAATTATCCCTTCATTCCGTTCGTTCGAGGCGTTTCCTGAGCACTAAACAAATTGTAAATGCTGTGTTAGGCAGTGAAGGACTGAAGGACGCACAGTCTTGGTCCCTCTCTGAGAAGTCAAAGGGGATGAAAGCAGTTAAGAGTCGTTCCGCGTGTTATGGCCCTGCGCAGTCTTTAAGGTGTTCAATGTGAGCCTATACAAATCAATTAGCCAAGTGTCTATTTTGCAACACTGACTAAACAGCATCTCATAATTAATAAGTGTAGTTTAGAGCACTCAACCAAGCCATAAAATGCATTAAAAGCCTTCTGCTGTTCAGCCTCCCTGTGGGGTCCTGGCAGAGCACCCGGGGGACCCTGTGGTGTTGAAAGGAGACTTCAGCTGTGAACAGCTGAAAATCCTGGTGGCTGCAGGGGACCAGGGAGTCACCCCTCCCCCCCGCCGTGCCCTTCACCAGCAGGTCCCCTTTAGTCTATGAAGCAATACCTGTGCTATTGTCCTTTCCTACTGGAGGAAATGGGGGCATAGGGCCCTTCCCTTAGCCAAAGTAAAGAGGCTAGCAAGTGCCAGGCCCACATCAAGATTGGACCCTTCTCGGAATTTTAAAGTCATAATCCAGAAAGAATGGCCTGCGGTGGTGGATGGTGACTGTGCAAAGCCAGAGGAGCCAGCGAATGAGAGAATTGTAAAACCCACTAATTTCCTTTCACTTGTGCTCCATCCAATTCAGCCCACGTTTACTCGAGCAATAACTTCCTCACTGAGTAAACGCCGTCCCTCAAAGTCCTTATGCTAACTGTTGTTAAGAACCAACCGGCCCCAAAAATTTAACATGAAATTTCAAATTCGGACCAAAAAAAAATGAGAAGTAGAACACAGAACTAATTATAAAATATCCTCAAGCAGGCAATGACGGGGGGGGGGGGCAGCAGGGACAGAACACTTAACCAACAGGCACAACATGGCTCCCATCCATCTCTTCTCATGAAGGAGGATGAGAATACATTGCCAGATCAGGCGCTGCAGTGGCCTCTGTTTAGTCACGCCTCTCTGAAGCTGTTCCCTGTAGTGTCGCTCAGCTTCGCCACCTCTGAGCTTGGCTATCTCTGAGCTTGGCTGTGTGGTTTGCTTTAGCCTGAGCAGTAACGTGTTTGTTTTTTGTTTTGTTTTGTTTTGTTTTGTTTCATTTCGTTTTTCTCTTTCTTGGGCTTCTGCATAGCACAGAGCTAAGCTGTCCCAGCCAGCCAACGCCGCTCTAAAGTGGTCAGCACAAATGACCCACAGGTTAACCACAGACACATGAGCAAGCTCAGGTAAGATCAGCCAAGCCAGGCCCACATCAGAATGTCCAGCTGACAGTTAAGAAATATAAATGGTTGTTCCGTTAAGTCACTGTGTTTGGGAGTAAATTGATTAAGCAATACTATATCCACTGCATTGGGTCATTACAAAGAGTGGAAAACAAATATGAGATGCTCAATCCGCTGCATCTGGTCAATGTTTGACAAATGCAAAAATGTCTCCTTCTTCACCTACTTTCCGAGGCTCTCAAACCATGATTTGGCTTGCCTGGGTCAGGGAAAGACGAAATGACCTGGGTCAGAGTAAGTGAAAGTAAGAAATTTTATCTTAAAAATAGTCAGACCACAAGATCTTTGAGCCATGCCATTTCCACTGTGCTGTGCACCTCTGCTGGGCTACTCCAGATCGAGCAGAGCAGCAGCCAATGGATCCCATGCTCCCCGGGATAGCCTGGGTAAATGGGGGTGGCGTATCTCATGGGCCCTTTAATTTCTGCAACAGCGGTCACTATTTCCCATTGTGTTGTGACCAGATTTCTTCCTCCCAGAGTTTGAATATCTTATCAACATTCGCATAATCGAGCAGAATATCAATTCACATCTACCTAATTCCACATTCCATCTTTGGCCCCATATGTGATGGATTTGGGGAGAGGCACAGGGGACACATGAGCAACGAAAAATAGTTTCAGATCGGAAAAGGTAGCTTTGAGGTTTGACTTTTAAAATCATTATCCTTCATCACCTCTGAGTAATGACCATTTAAATAGCCAGTTATTACCAAAGTGGTGATACACATCTCCAAGTTTGTTAAGGCCACACTCCTTATCCTCGGCTCACTCTTGTTCATTTAAAAGCCTCCATCAAAATTTCACAGGGGGGGGGGAGGGAGGGGAGGTTGATGTAAGGCCTTGGCTGCTGGAAGCCTCAAGTCCAGGGCCCCACCTACAAGGCAATAATGAATCTCAGACAATTCATCTGGGTCAATAGTTTTAATAAATAAATAACTCCTCCATTCCAGAAAATAGAATCTAACAGGAACAGATCTCACATAAACACAGCATTTCTCTCCCATTTTCAACAGGGTCATTAATGCTTTGCCCAATTAAGCACCAAAACACAGCCCCTGAATAATTTAAGCTGAATAAATGAAGAAAATAAGTAAATTATATACCTACTTATGGAAACTAACTTTTTTAAAAAGAAAATTAAATGGGAACTTTATACATGGTCCACATTTAATTCAACCAAGAGTACTTAACTTTGAAGAAAAGGGTGGTATTCTGGCTGGTTTTGTATACAAATTTGTCACAAGCTAGAGTCACCAGCAAGGAAGGAGCCTCAGTTGAGGAAATGCCTCCATGAGATCCAGCTGTAAAGCATTTTCTTTCTCAGTTAGTGATGGGGGAGGACCCAGCCCATTGTGGGTAGTGCCATCCTTGGGCTTCTGGTCCTGGGTTCTATAAGAAAGCCAGTAGGCAGCACCCTCCATGGCCTCTGCATCAGCTCTTGCCTCCAGGATCCTGCCCTCCTTGAGTTCCTGTCCTGACTTTCTTTGGTGAAGTGTAAAACCCTTTCCTCCCCAGCTTGCTTTTAATGGTTATGGTGTTTTGTTGCAGCAATAGAAGCTCTAAGACAGGCAGAAAACTGATGTTCAAAAAACTAGAATTGGGTATGTCTCCCCCTACCCCATCTCTGCAGGTAAAACAGGGTCTCTGGGGCCCTCGAGCAACTAAGACTATCACTTAGTTTTCTACTTCACTCTCAAAATTTTGATACAGGGACAGATGCTGCTGCTGCAATAGAAATCTTTGTTTGTTTGTTTGGTTGGTTGGTTGGTTGGTTGGTTGGTTGGTTGGTTGGTTTGGTCGTTTTTGTGAGAGGAGGTAGAAACCTTGAGTAAATATGTAAAGAGAGAAGTCCTGAGTGAGTATATATTGTGGCTACGTACACAGCCATGTCAAAGGACCTAACACCTCAAACCCACGGGATTGCAAGCCTCCCCGTCACCACAAGCCTCCCCGTCACCACTGGGAAGGATGAGGATGAGTGGGAGGACAAAGCCAGTCCTCTGGTCTGAGAGTAACGTTGGCAGTTGTGTGAAGAGCCTAGCAACTGCAGCTTCCTCTTTCCAGATGTCTATACCCTTAGACTGCCCCCTACAGGCACGTGCCACAGGGACCAGCCAACTGCTGCCCTGTACGATACACAGCACACTGAGGTTCTAGGTTGTCAGGTACTCAGTGTCGCTCCATCAGAGCGCACACGGCCCACCTGACCCCACTTTTCTGCGTACGTGTCTGTCCTTTTTTCATTCCCCAGTCACCCCAGTCAGATCAAGAACCACTGGTTCCATTTTGGTTGGGCTTGTTTGCTTCTGGTTTTAAGTTCACGTGTTTCTTCCTGTTAGACAGAAGAAGTGCTTATTTGCTCATTGTCAATGCTGTTTGGACTTGGGTGTTTTATGCTTAGAAAGAATGCCCTGACCAAAG